CTTAAGACCTTTGGTTTTGGCTGAAATTCATGAAAATGTTTGCTCTGAAGAAGCCCCCTATGTTGGAAGAAATCTAAGATGGTTGATTGAGCAGCATTATACGATAATAGGTCGTGGCTTATCTTTAGTGGGTCCCAAGTAGTTTAAGATGCTCTACAAATTGGTATCTTCAAACAAAGGCTTTAATTAAAAACATCTGGAATCTCTAGAAAACTCTCTAAGCCAAAATCTAGGTTAAACATCATTCAGAAGCGTAAACCAACCTTATATTTGTGATCGGCGTTGCTGATTACATATACTTCTATGGTTTTTAACGATTTAACATTTGAATGCTTCTCTCGTTAGTATGTAAAAATTATTCTATTTGTAAATCATGTCATTTATGACCTCATTCACTTATTCGACATCAAAAGATGTTTTTAATGTTCGTACTGTTATTGTCTATTCTATACGCAATTTTTTCCATAACAGAACAAAGAAATGTGTTGAAATCGAGTATATTTTGAGTGTACAGACAGTTGAATGATCTAGTTATAGAACCGTATTCATATAGATTTTCCTCTTATGAAGATTATTGGCATATAAAATTTATTGTTTATATGTACAAACATAATTACTTTTATTGTAAGGAGATGCAGATTCAACATATGCTCATGTGAAGTAAATAAAAGAAATCAAACATCGAAAGTGATTAAAACGATGTCGTTGTATTAGAAAAGAAAACACAACATGTTAGTTATATTCTATCTTATTTTATATATTTAAAAAAATAAAATGGCTAAGAAAATATCCTGAGACACTTAATATACAATATCTACGTTATCAAATATTCACAAAGGATTGAAAAACCAATAGCAATATATTTAGCAAATAATCACTATGTCCAACTTCTATTTGAAGTATGTGTGTGCAAGTGAATAAGTAGTTTAAGATCAGAGAGCATAATATTATTAATTAAGGTCATTGTAACCGGGTATAATCGAACAACGAGAATTATTTTGGTAGAGCATGAAAAAAATTGTGCGAAAATTTTATGTGAACTATTAAAAGTTTAATAGACCTTCAATTTCTTTTTTTTAAGTTCCTCCATCTGTTCCACTAGTCGTTGTATAAACATCATAATTATTAATTACATCTTTTAAATCGGATGATTTAATTTGAACATATTTTTCTTCTTGATATGATTGACTGGTATCATCATAATATTTTCGATTACTTAATCGTTGATTTCCATTTCCTACACTTTGATCATACGGCATATCGTAAGCATTTGAACCTAATTTTGTTAATAAATGAGTTGGAAATTTACCACTATTTTCATAATTACGTCGAAGTATTTCTTCTGTTAATATGTATCGTTGATCATCGATATTATCTATATTACTATGTGTTAATATTCCACCTCCACTTGAACTACTATCATAAACAACTGAATTTTGATTAGTTGGTGAACGACGTTCAATATCATATACTTGATCATTCATTATTTGATCAATATTTATTTGTGATGTATCAATATCTTCTTCATTTAATAAACGTACTAATGAACTATATTGACGTGATGTTGATTGTGGTGAAGATGTATGATATTCACTCATAATTTGACGTAAATTATATCCATCACTATTTTGTAAATCATATAATTCATTATCATTTGTTACTGATTGATGAGCTTGCTGTTGTTGTTGTTGTAAAACGATTAATTCATCCTGTAAACCTAATTCTTGAAATTTTCGTTGAATAAAATCTATATAAAATAAATTATTTTTATTTTATTATTATTCTATTATTCAAATATATTTTGTTTTTTTGTTAATTTACCTGTTGTATATAATTTATCTCCATATTGTTGATAATATCTTACTGGATCTGCTTGTTGTATACCTAATTTTTTAACATGTTTAACAAGTTCAACTTCAGGTGGTTTCCATTCGATAATTGTATTTTTTATTCGTGCCATTGGTTCTAATGGTTTAGCACGTTCATGAACCACTTGACGTTTTTGTTTGTTGTACGGTAGCCAACGTTCAATGATTACCGGACGAGGTTTAGGAGGTAAATTGGGTAAACGTTCAATAATTAATTTTCGTGGTGGTGGAGCGGGAGCCGGTATAACTTCTGAAAATTAAATAGTGAATAAATTTAAATTAGAATTAAAAATTATTGTGATTAAACAAAAAAATAAATTGACTAATTATTAGTTTTTCTAAGTTGATTTTTTAATTTACTTTTTATTACTGTTGTTGGTACCGATTTTGGTCGATTTGGTGGTCTTTCTCGGATAATTACAGGTGACGGTGTTCTTGGTGGTGGTGGACGTTGTCTCAAAATAATTGGAGGCTAAATAAAATAATGAAATGAATAGATTCTCTGTTTAAATAGATAATTTGAATCAACGTACTGCTACAGGAGGTGGTGGAGCACGAATTTCACGAATAATAATTGGCTATATATATAAATCGAATAGAAAAATGAAAAAAATCAATTTTTGTTACTTATCTGAGAGTTAAAATAAGCTTACACCAGGTGGTGGTGGTGTTGGTGGACGTAAATATCTCACAGCTACATCATGTGTATATGTTAATCGTTGAGTATTTGGTCGAACAATTAATTCTGGATTTGGATCAACATTAATTGGATAATTTTTAACATCCGGTGCTATTGGCGATAGAAGTGATCTTGATGACATAAATTGTTCACCATTTTCATCCATTTCTAATATTTGTTTAATATTATTATCATCAATATATCTTGTAGCCGTTCCCGATGATGATTCACTATCGTGAAGTGTACGAGTATATTCATTTGCTGTCATTGTTTGACCATTACGAATAAAATATTCATTTGAACCTGATCGAGATAAATATTGTTGTTGTTGTTGTTGTTGTTGTTGATCAATATCAGTTTGATTATTAACACCTAAAACAAAAATAAATCTAAAAATATATATTCATTGAAAAACTAAAAAATAAATTTCTTCTTTTTTTTCTTCAAATTTACCTAAATGTACAACGGTACTATATCGTTTTAGTTGTCGATCTTCAGAATTTGAATGAATATCATCTCCATTTGATGTTGTACCACTAACATTATTATTATTTCGATTTGTTTCAATTCTTGTTGATGTTTGTTGTCGACGATTTGTTTTATATGGATCATCTAAAACATATCGTCTTGGTTGACGTTTTTGATTTGATGATGACGTTGTTGTTGTTACTGTTCGACGTTGTTCAGTTGTTGACATTTTTTAATAAATTCTATTTGAACGATGATGACAACGATAAGATGAAATCGTTTTTGTTTTAATACAAAAATAAAAGATAAATCCAATCGTGTCTTTATTAATCGTTCTTAGAATAAAATAAAAATATATGAAATAGTTTTAGTTCAAAATATACCCGAAACAACTATGTATCTTGTCCTTGATTGTTCTGGGCTACGACGTTGTGTCGTAATATTGTCTCTGTATTCTGCTATTATTTAACTTTATTTTCCTCCTTTATTTTTTTTTTCAGTTTTTTATTTCATCTCCATCTCCATCCACAAACAAGTCATTTACCTGTAGTGAATAATTTGTTTAAAAAAAAGAAAAAAAAAAAAGACGAAGAAGGAGAGAATTATGTAAAAAAAAACACACACACACACACACAAAAAGAAAAAGAACTGAAAGAATACAAGTTGAACTTAGATAGAACAATATGTGTTGATGTTTATTCTTACTTTCAATAATTGATTGATTGTGATTAATTTTTTATGAATTCATTTTTCATAAAAAATAAAACGTAATTTATGTAGATATATGCTACATAAAATAAGGTGTTCGTTTTTTATATTTAATCACAGTACCATTTACTATTTATACTAATATTCTTCATCATCTCAAATAACTGTTATTGTCAATCATATAAACTACCTTTAAAAAATGCATGTGTATTTTATGAAAAGATTTTTTTTCTGTTTTTTTTTTTATCATTATTATTATTATTATTT